CTACTCTTGTACCATTTATAGCGATCAAACCGGGTCTAGTGGACCAAGCTCCCAAAAGGAGTACTCAAAATAACCAAACAAAGGTGGTGATCAATTGGGGATGAGTGTTGACTTATGAATCTTCAAATAGAGCATGTCCTAACCAATGTAAGACTTGGAATGTCATAGTTGCATTCTAGAAAAAGGAAAGAATTTTCCATAATGGTAAATTTCTATAAAAATTGGAATTTTCAAATGATATTGGTAAAAGATAGTAGCCACTAAATTGTTTGCTCATAATTTATTAGTAAATGTTACCAACTTTATAGGGAATTACTAGCTTTTTATGTTTTTTTTTCTATTATCGACTTTTTTTATTGAATTACGAACTTTTACTTACGTAACTTATCGATATTTTATATTTGTCAACTCTTACGAAATTATAAACCTTTGCTTTATTTTCCAACTTTTCTTCGATATATTTACCAACTAATTCGGATATCAACTTTTATCGAGTTCGTCTGCTGGTTACATTTTAGTTCGAAAACTACAATATTTTTCAATAAATGGCCAACTTTGATTTACGTAACTTATTACAGTCTAATTTTGTCAACTTCTATACGAAATTAGCATATTTTATTTTATTCTTACCAAATTTTAAGTTACATTTATTTCGATTGGTGTTTCCAAGTTACCAACTTCTATAATAGTTCTGAAGTCATGGGGGAGTCGAACAGTATTATCAGGATATGGGTATTGTGGCCCATCGGATAGTTCTTTGTGACCGGTATGCCGCAGCACTGTTTTGGCTCGTCATATCCATGTACCGCCGGACTGTTCCTTCTGCCATCGAGCTTAAACGGCCCGAAGGATCAGAAACTTCCCATGCATACGCGATCCTTTCGTTCGACCCCATCTTTTGTTCGTCCGAGTAAGAGAACAATGTTGCCGAGCTTGTCCTTCTGAAATATCGCTGAACTTGCCTTCATCAGGATGGATCCGGTACAACAAGTGGTCCCATTTGCATGATTCTGTTGCTGCTGTTATGCCGACTGAGTTGCTCTTGTTGCTTATCAGCTATCCCCTAGTCTCCCGGTCCATCATCTTCTTGGACCTCTCCACTTCTGGGAAGCTTTTGAGACCTCCGAAGCAGCTGTTCCTCCTCCTGTTGAGATGGCCATATCGTTGGCGTGTTATCACCAGGACTACAGAAGATAATGAAACGATCCACAACGCAAAGTGTATGAGGCTCACTCGTTTTCTTAACCAACCCTAACTTCCTCTTCCGGAGGTTGGCCTTTTAACATTACCGTTCAGTCATTCACAATCCACATGAGCTTAACCTTCTTCCTCGTCATGCTTAATTTTCTATGTGGCCTCTCTCACCTCTAGAAATGAAATTGTCGGCGTATTTATAGTGAAGCAGGAAGCGATGATTCCCCACGTGGCATCACTAAATCGAGGCAATTGAAAATTGAATAGCGAGAATTTGGTTCACATAAATGATGAAAATTTTAGATGATGGTAATAGATGTTCCGCTTCGGAAACACGTTTTATTGGTGGTAAATGGGCGGGATTTTCTTGGATTCCTTGAGATGAAAAACCTCTCTCTGTATGCATATTCATATTAGGCCATCAACTAACCAATACAATCAACCGACGTATGCGAAACCAAATTAAGCCTTTCAATGTCATGTTGGTTGATACTTCATTTGTTTGATTGGTTGATTGCATGATAGTTCAGGAAGAAGCCGCTACTTTTTTCGATGATTTCACTTGACTATGGTGATCATGAACTCAGTCTAGGGTTTTCTAAGAAGTTTGAGATTTGACTCAAGTTCTTTGAAATTGAGGCAATTCTAATTTCTATTTTTCGGCAGATATAAATCTTTTGTATGTTAGATTGTAAAATCCAGTCCACATATCTAACTTGAAATTTGTTTCTGTTGGTTGAAATGAAAAATTTAAAGCTGTGAAGTATTGCGTTTAAGTTATATCCAAATTGAGTATTTAACGAATTTTTCATATACAAGAATTCAGAATGTCGGTTCTAGTACTCTACGTAGGCGATTGTTTCCTTAGATAAATATGCATCATCCTTTTATGCAAATAGCTGATGTCCATCGATTCATGCATGCATACATACGAGGACATACTATATCTTATTGATTGATTTCAAGTTTTTTGGAGGCCATAAGCGTCGACATAATCGGAAGCAATAAAAGTCCTATAACATTTATGCTGTAAGCATAAAGTGATGGAGCAATTGATATCCAACTATTGTTTGGCACAAGAGCCAATTAGATTTGTGTTTAAATTGATCCGCTCAATGCGACTTCAAATCAAATTGATCCATTTACGGGGCGGATTCAAAGCCTCAAGTAAGAGGACTTCAAATGAATCGATTTTGTAAAGATTTAAGCAACTGAGATTGACTAGAAATTAGCCAAGCAGAACGATGAACAAATCTACCAAATTGATCGAACTCTATTTACAGAAGACTTGTCAAAAGTCGGGTTTGGGTGGGTTTAAAATAGGTCCGATCAAAATTAACCCATTCTGACCCATTTCACGAAATACTATCTCGATGACACCCAATCTTGACCTAACGAACACCTGACCGAATCTGGATTTCGATTATTAGCAATTTTTCCCCTCAAATATCAATAATAGCATATACTGAAAGAAACTAGTCAACTAAAAACAAATTAAAATTGAACAAAAAAAATTAGAAGACAAAAGAATACTAAAAATTTGAGGACATAAGCTACTAGAACACGTTATGAATTAAGGATGGGGCAAATTACTCAATCAGTCCTAACCATATTATACGGTTGCCAATTTAATTCTATACTTTCCAATTTACCCAATTTAGTCCTAAACGTTTTAATGATTTTTAAATATAGTCCATTCCGGCCAATTTAAGCTGGGAAATTCGACGTGGAGGTCCAGTCATCGCCGGCCATCTCACGTGGCATGCTGGTGATCTGACGTGGAAGAACATAAACGAAACTACGTCATTGTGGATACTTTTATGATTTTTCTGAATTTTTTTTTCTCTTTTTTTCTTTCTTTTCTTTCGTTTTTCTTTACTATACTATCTTCTTCTTCGTTTATGCCGGCGATACTGTTCTTCTTTAACCAGTTTACCACGAGCGACCCAACCTTATCCTTTTTTCTTTTTTTTTAATTTCATATTGCCTTCATTTATTTTTGAGCCAACCTATACGAAAGATATGTGGACTACCTCGTTAATTTCTTTATGAACTTAATGTGGGTAGCATCACCTATTAATTATAACTACAAATTGTGCAATTGATAGTCCATAACCATATATAAATTTTCAAACTATGCATAACTTATTAAATTCACATATCAGTAATTTTTCTAGCGATATTTATTATGCCAAGTTTTGAGAAAATTATCCAAAAAGTTCTAAACCTATTGCACTTTTGCGAATTCAGTTATAAACATTTCAATTTTACCAATTGAGTCCTAAACCTTTTCACTTCTAGTCAATTGAGTCCATTCGGCCAATTTTGGCCCGAAATCGCTAACGTGGACGCTGACCGTCTTACGTGACATGGCCAGCGCTAATTTCAACAATTTTTAACAACATTTTAATATTTTTCGATTTTTACATATTTTTTCTTATTTTATTCTATTTTTCTTTCTCTCTTTTTTTTTTTTTCCATTCTTCTTCCTTTCGCTAGTGACCGGCCATAGGCAATGGCGGGGCAGGATGGCCACACTTGGGTGAGGGTCGCCATCGCACGCCATAGGCAAGGCCCGATCGAGCGAGGGCGAGCCCCGGTGAAGGCTCCCTTCGCCGGATCGGGACAGGCTACCCTAACCTAGACGAAGGTTCGGCCTTGTCCGATCCGGCGGGGGGAGCCCTCACTACGACTCGCACTTGCCCGGAGAGGCCCGGGGCAAGGGTCGACCATGCCAAGGCCAAATCTGGCGAGCTCGACCCTCGCCCAGGCCAAGGCAACCTTGCTAGATGTGGCGAGGCTCGCCCTCGCCGGGCCTCGCCCTCACCCAATCGAGGCTAGACCACCCAGCCATGGCCTGTGGTCGGTCACCGGCAAAAGAATGAAGAAATGAAAAAGAAAAAAAAAGAAAAAAAAGAAAGAAAAATATCAGAAAAAGCTATTACATTATTACTAAAAATTGTTACTGACAATGCCGATTGTGCCACGTAGAATGGCCAGTGTACATGCCAGCGAATTCCGGCCAACATTAGCCAGATGAACTCAATTGGCAGAACTTTAAAAGGTTTAGGACTCAATTGATAAAATTGAAAAGTCTAGGACTGAATTGACAAAAGTGGAATAGGTTTATGACATTTTGGAAAATTTTCCGCCAAATTTTTTAGTCATATGAGCTTTATGAGTAATGATTGTGAAAGTATCTTTAAATTGTATAAATACCGGTAGATTGAAATAGCAACGTTAAGTTTAAGCAAGAAAACTGTGTGCGGACCCGGCAGAGTGCTTGTTTGCTCAAAGAGCCTAGGGAGCTCTAGACCTTCATAGATTTCGCCAATGTAGAAGCACACTGCTTTCACTTTCATCAACATTTCTCTACACATGAACAGATTCTTCGTGAAAGTTTGCTCCTGAAATAAAGTGGTCGGCTTCAACAACCCCACGTCTTGAAAAAAGCTGGCTTCATGTTTCTATAGAGTCTAACGAATCTCACCCGTCATATTTCTCCATTTTATTAAAACATTCCTTCCTAGGATTGGACCATTAAATTGATTAACGTGAGTGAAGAGCCAAATCAAGTGCTTTTGTGACATCGATCGTTTGCGGTGCATTAAATCAAGTGCTTTTTTTGTGTGGTCCTTGAAATAGAGATGAACTCACTCAACAAACACTCTAACCGCAACTCTCGGAAGAAAAACTAAATAGCTATGACTATTGACTTTGCAACACGAGACGTTGTCCCATATATACCGATAGAAGGACGCAGTCCCGCTCACAAAAGCTTCTGTGGGTTTTCATCTGCTTCTCTACCGAAGGCCATAAAGAAAAAATGTCTCTTGCGGCCACATCAATCCCTCCTCCTCCTACTAAAAACACCACTCAAGTTGAACGACGGTCGGCAAACTTTCATCCAAGCATATGGGGGGATTACTTTCTAAAATATGCTTCTGACTCCAACTCAAAGGTAGCATTTAAGTTATTCTTTTTCTTGAATTGCCTTCCGAAATTTTTCGATCGTTATGTTTTCTGAAAAGCGAGAGCATAGAAAATGATTATCTTGGGTTATTGGGCACCATCCCACAACATTTGATAAAGAAAAACGAAAACAATTTTCAGTTGATTGGAAACTCCTCGCATGTGCTGGTCCTCACATGATAGAAAATTTCTATGTGAACCTTGTGGCATGCACGCATGACCTAACCAACGTAGAAAGAATATCTCTACTATTACTAACACTATTCTTAATGGAATAATCTTTACGTAATTTCAATTCAACTTTATCGTGGTCAGTCGGGTAATAGATATTTCTTGCTTTCTTACCAAGTTATGTCATTTTCCTCTAATTTTTTTTTGGACTTTTAATTTTATTTGTATTGAAGAGTTCTCGTGGCATAGCATATAAACAAATCGATAGATTGAAAGAAGAAGTGAGAAAGATGTTGACAGGTGCTATGGATAAGCCTTCACAGAAGTTGAACTTGATCGATCAAATCCAACGCTTGGGATTTGCCTACCATTTTGAACGTGAGATAGATGAGCAGATGGAGCAAATCTGCAGAAGTTATTTCGAATTTCACTGTGGCGACAACAATGACAACCTGTACATGGTCACTCTTCTCTTCCGATTGTTGCGACAACAAGGTTATAATATTTCATGCGGTATGCCTATTCAAATTCTTGGTAATTGATCAATTGGCGAAATTCTATTGCAGACACTAGTTTGATAGTCAATTTCATTGATTAGAGTGGCCAAATAATATCACTAACATGTATAATTTACTGTAGTCTTAATTTGTATATTCGTTAACTTTTTTCTTTATTCAATTTTCACCGTACCCGAGTTCTTCAATTTTCTCGCTTTGAAAGGCGAATGGTCCTTTCTTCTAATTCCTTGGTTTAGTATGTGCTTTTTCCATCTTTTCTAATTGATCTAGATATTGAACATCGTGTTTTTCATAGAATCTCATGATAGCATCTTTTCCGATATTCCTTTTGGCCATATAGAAATCTTTAACAAGTTCAAGGACAACGAATGGAATTTGAAGAAATCGCTTATTGCCGACATGCAGGGACTGCTAAGTCTATTTGAAGCTTGCCATCTTAGATATCACGGCGAAGATATTTTGAATGATGCACTTGCTTTTACTGTAACTCACCTAGAATCAATCGATGCAAGAAAAGCAAGCCCTAATCTTGCAAAACAAGTGAGTCATGCCCTAAACCAGCCAATCCACAAGGGACCGCCAAGGCTAGTGGCTAGTCACTACATTCCACTCTACGAAGAGGAGCCTTCGCATAATGGAGTCCTGCTCTCCTTGGCTAAACTCGATTTCAACATAGTGCTAGAGCAACACCAGAAGGAACTCGGCAATATTACAAGGTTAACTTCTTGATAGCGCGTCTGAAGAAGCTAGATGTTCTAGGAACACCAGTTTCCCACCGATTGATTCGTGCATTTCTGAATTATCCTGAACTAAAAATCATTTGTACGTGACAAGGAGTGTTAAACTCTTTGGATCATCGGTCTAAAGTATTTCCTGTATGTAAACTAAAAATTGTATCGAATATGTGTTTGCTTAAATCGGATTTGTCGGTAAACTGTAGGTGGTGGAAGGATTTAGATGTAGAGAGGAAGTTCCCATTTGCTAGAAATAGGCTTGTGGAGCTATATTTCTGGATGTCAGCACTTTATTTCGAGCCAAAGTACGAAGCCGCTAGAGAAATACTAACCAAAGTGGCTGGCCTTCTCTCCATTATCGACGATATCTATGATGTCTACGGCACATTGGAAGAACTAGAACTCTTCACGGAAGCAATTGAATGGTATAGTTCGCACTCGGATGCTTTTCTCAGTATATTAATTCTAAACTCACCGATTCTAATTTGATTAGCTGTTAATGAGGGTCAAGTGCAATATTTTCTGAACTTGACATCAGGTGGGACATTGTTGACATCTGATTTTTAGCTCATTTTTTTTCATATTTTCAAAAATCTCAAAAGTAGGAATAGGAATCTTGGCCAAGCCTAGATACCTACTTCTAAACCAAAAATAAATTTTTTAGCATTTTCCTGCATTTTTCATTAATTTCTTTTAGTCAAAATAAGTAAGAAAATCAAGAAAAATAGCATATGGAATCAGAAAATTCCATAAAAATAGTCATTAGTCTTCTTTTAAATCCAATTTCATTAATACATCATCAATTTTGAAAAATTTCAATCGGGTATGCATTTTTCCCAAAATTGGGCAAAATCAAACTCGAATTGAACCAAAAATGCAATTAAATATTTTTTAGTCATTTTTAAGTCATAGTGTCTTCACAAAAAATGTTTTTGGGACCTTGAATTACATAATGGTCGGTCCAATTGCACAATTTGTCAAAGAAATCAGAAAACCCCAAAATTCAATTGAAAATTAAGAATTTTGAGCCCAAATTGGGAATCGTGCCCAATATGAAATTGTCGAACCATGAGACCACCATTTCTAGGGTTAATCATATGTGGGTAATTCAATTTTGGCACCAATTTTGCCTAATCATTTCATTAAGACATCGAAGTGAACAAAACCGTAATAACCCGAATACAAAAGTTTGAAAATCTTGGACATGATTATGACAAAAATTGGGGAAAATCATATATTTGGGTTCAAAATATGATGAGGAATTCAATTTTGGGTATAAATCTGAAAAATTAGGTTAAAATCATGTCGAATTTGTGAATTTAGACCAACCCGGGCCTGTTGGGTCGGCCGGGTCAACCCGACCCGACCCGGGTCGATCACCTTCTTCACTCGGTTTACCCAAGAATGCACAATAAACCCAGAAAAAACAATTCATGCACGAGACTTTGCCGACTTCGCGTGATCAATTTCACACGTGAAAATCGAGTTGGCCAGTTGGAAAATATCAAGCTGGCACCAAAGAATCATCCCAACCGATTCATAGTTGGTTAATAACAAACTTTGGGTGGGAATTTTGATCAACAAAAAACCAAGAAAAACTGAACATTGAAGGAGGAAGGTGTTCAACGAATTGCCGAAAAGAGAGAAGAGAGAGAAACAGAGACGAAAGAGAGAAAACTAGTGAGAGAAGTGAGTCGAGACTCCTTGAGGCCGAGTGATCGGCGCTTTTCCGATCGAAAAGCGCCGGCAAATCAGTCTCACCGGCGAACCAGAATTGGAACTGATCACGAACGCCTGGAAATCAGTCTCGGCAGAAGCATCCAAAGTCTCTTCAGCGAATCCAAAGCCACCGTCTTGAAGCTCAAGTGCCAAAGAAGACTTCCACGGTGACTGATTAGCTCGAGGACAACATTTCAATCCCGGACGAAGCAGGTAAACATCGCTCGTGGTCACGTTTTTTTTTAGAATTGCAGAAAACCATTTTGACCTTAAAATGGATGTTCATGCAATTTTCTTTGAGATTTTGATTTTCTGGAGGTCTATAATACGTTTCTAATCATAGTTAGGTTGTTTGATTACATTTTGGGTCATTAAATAGTATAAAACCGAGTCGGCCGCCATTGATGAACCACACCGGAGCTCGAAGATCATCGCCGGAGCGTCGCCGTGGACATAGGTCACCCAAGTTAGCATTTTCTGACCTTGTTTTATGATTTGGAACTTATTTTGATCGACATAGACAGCTAGGGCAAGTAGAATAAGAATTTAAAGCTTCTGATGAGTATGGTTTAGGTTAGTAGCAGACTGGCATTTTCCGATCGGTTTTTCGCCGGCCGGCGACGATCCAAAGACAAGTCTATAAGTTGAAGTTAATAGATGGTGATGAGAGGGAAACACAGAACCAAAAATCAATCAAAAAGGTCACTGGAATGGTCGCCGGCAACGAGCTCAAATCGGCAGCCTTGATAATGTTTGAGTTGGGAATATGCCCACCAACCGTTCGACCAAATGCCTCAGAGAATAAAGGGCAAAACGGCGCCATTTTTGGCGTCGTACCCGCCGAAGGAGGTGATCGGCGCCGGCGCCGGCGACGCCCGGTTCATTTCCTGGCGGGAAATTTTAAAAAAATATAAATAAATAAATAATCTAAAAAAATCTTTAAAAAATTCATAAAAAATAATAAAAAATCAGAAAAATTTTGGAAAATCGGAAAAAATTCAGAAAAATAGGAAATTCACAAAAAATAAAAATTTTCAGAAAATTCAAAAAAATTTTCAGAAAATTCATAAAAATTCAGAAAATTCTAAAAATACAAATAAAAAATATGAAAAATTAAGGAAAAATCTAAAAAAAATTGAAAAATTGAAAAATTGGAAAATTCATAAATTTTTTTCAGAAAATCATAAAAATCAATTCTTGATTAATGAAATTCTCAGAAATTCAATTTCCGAAAAAAAAAATCAAAAATTTCAAAACTTCACAGAATTGTTAAAAAACACTGTGGCCAACCTTAGAAAGTGAAATTTGAATTTTTAAAAGTGCCCAAGTGGCATTTTTAGAAAATCTCAAATTCAGGGGTTATAACCCCTAAAAAACCCTAAGACCCTAAAAAAAGTGCAAATCATGAAATGAATAAGCTTTTAGAGCTTCATTAGGGTTTGGATGTTTTGATTGATTTTCATTTTTAGAGACCATTTAGGATTGATTGATTTGATTGACATTGATTGCGCATTTAATTCTTGATTGATTTTCCCGCGATTAGAATGGATAGAATTAGTGGGTAAACCTCGGAAACTTGCATGACACGTTAGACATCGTATCGTTCTTAGGTACCGAAAGGGCGTTAAGGATCTCCATTCGGGATCATTAGCGTAATTAAGTCCCCGTACTCAGAATCTCTAGTTCGTAGAATCGTGGTATTTCTCCCATACCTCGATTAGATTTCTAGTTTACCTACCAATAATGACTAGTGGCGACTCCAAAATCAAAAACTTAGACCAAATAGGAAATCCACCATTCACTGTCACGTGAGGTATGGTCTAGGAGAGACCCTTACACAGAAATACCTCCTTAGCGCGCAAATCCCGAAAGTCCAAAAAAGCGCGGCGCGACAGGCTTGGCGACTCCACTGGGGAATATAACCTTTTCTAAGTGGACTTAGGCCTAGATAGAACGATACACATGTGTTTTGTGCTTGCAAGGATCCCAGGTACGTCCCGCTAATACTAGTGTTAAATGGTTTTGCAGGCGGGTAGTATAAGGGGTGTAGTCTTTGCTAACCCTTGTTTTGCAAGATGGTGTTGGGATTGAATGTGAATTGAATGAATTTTAGAAGTGCTGTTTAGTCATTAATTACTATGCATGCTTTTAAATTGCTTTAGCACTACACTATTAGCACACACCACCCGTGGCCCAACCCCGGCTACATTTAGGATTACCCTTAGGAGGTATGTGTTTAGGCGAAACTATGAGCCGATTGCTCATGGGATCGCTTAAATGCAATACCGATCACCGAGATGAAATAATATTCCATTACTTTAGGCCGATTGCCTATTGGAATGGAATCCCTTGTCCATTAAGGTGGTAACCTTGAGCCTTTAGCATATCCTACCATTTTAGGCATCAAAACTTCACTGGTTGCATTCGTTTGTCATTGTGGTTGGTATACCTAAAACCAAACAAAAATGTCTAGGTAAGCAAGTATCGTTCCATTCTATTCTTTTACAATTATGCATGTTAGTTGACACATTTTCAAAAAATGCCTAAATGACATTCAATGCTTGGTCTAAATGCCCTTTCATATTAGAATGCGTGATTAGGGCGTCATACTCCATTTGACCATTCTTTTATTCTTAGATGAAATGTATAGGTCCATGGCGGATTTTCCATGTAATTCAAGTGCTTATTCGTTCATTTCAATGTATTCGAAGTTGTAAACCATAGTTTAGGACTTTATGATCTAAATGGAGTATGACAGAATGGGCATTTACATCACACATTGAATTTGTCCATGATCTCAAATATATGCTCTTGTAAGGTCTAAACGGACTCAAAACGACATTTGCATTACTTTGTAGGCATGCAAGTGTATTTTACCTCCGTCTTACCTTAAAAGGACATATAATTGAAATGGATGCATTAAAATCAATCGGTAATCCATGGTGAATAATAATCAATTTCTTGTACGTGCTTTAGATCGAAATGGGGAAATTAGACATACAAGTCATTCCAATTTCAAGGAAGGAGCTTTTGGCATGGTGGGTAAACATGACAAAGGACAACAAAGCATACGTAAGGGAAAGACTTGGGTATTTGTTCAAGCTCATCAACCTGGAGTACCAAGTGAGCTTAATTTAAGCATTATCCTATTTATGGGAAGTTACCACTGACACATTTCAATTGGGCGAGCACGAGATGGTACCCACACTAGAAGAATATAAGGCAATCATTGGGATTGATTTTGAGTCAAGAACCGTTGAGCCCCAAATTGGATTAAAGCCCACGAGTGTTATAGCTGAGTTCTTAAACTTGAAGACCTCTCAAGTGGAAAAGTTGATCAAGTCAAATATCGGGAGATTTCCTCTATCTTACTTGGTGGCCAATTACTCAAAATTGCCGAAAGAAACTGGAAATGTTTCCGCGAGGGTTTTTATTCTTGCCTTCTTCGGATTCGTTTTATTCCCCACATCAAGGACTGGATTAAATCCTCTCGTTGCAGTAATTGCTAAGCAAGCTTGCCTAAAATGGGACTTCTCCAATATGCTCTTGGCGGAGACCATCATTTCATTGAACAAATACCAAAATCAACAAAAGGGTTTACTGCAAGCTTCAGCTGGGTTACTTTCTGTGTGGCTTATTTCCCATATTCGACCTTGGGAACGTTATATGCGCATTCGAGAGATCGACTCATCTACCAACCCTATTGAGAAG